AAAAAAACTGTCATCGGCGACGAGTCAACGAATGCAGTTTCACACAATGGAATTATGGTGGTGTGGTATGATGTGCCGTTTTCTTTGTACTTCGGAATGCGCAAAAACAATGCAAAAAAATTATCCGCTTTTGCGATAAACAACGTGTTTTTTTTCCACTGCATGCAGCACACACAAAAACAAAAAAGGTGACTGAGCAAGCTTAAAAAATGCAGCCATTAAAGTAGTCGATGCAATGAAAATTGAGTCGAAAACCGGAACAAATAAGTGGCCACTAAAGATTAAACCGCATGAATGACCCTTTTCTTTGGCGCTTGCACATTACATTGGCTGCAAATATCTTCGAAACAGGACCGAGCCTTTTATCTGGCACTTTTCTTTTCAATCCTTTTCCATTCATACAAAGAGACAGAGACTGACACAAAGGCCACATTTGCAATGCGCTAAATTTTTTCGACGATGTTGTACACTGTGATTTCTCTTTTCGATAAGTCTCCGATATGAATGTCAAAAATTACTGCGTGAAATTAGAATATAATTTGCAAAAGATCCGAACCGATCGATTCATGAATCTAAGAAATAGAACATATTTGATTTGTGCCGACATGAATGCGCTAATGCACATGATTAATTTATAAACGATTGACAAATGAGCAAATGACAGCAATTAAAGTGACGGTTAAACAACGCCTCAAATGATGTAAGTGCTAATTATTTTCAAGTCGTTCAGAATCACTTTTACCTTTGTAATGCACGCCATGCATATAAATCAAAAACAACCAGCCGCACACACACACACATAATATGTCTTGTATGACCAGTGTGCGCACTCGTGTACACAGCGCTATAACAACATTATATTTCAAACAAATCGCTTTGGTATTTCTTTTTTGTCAATTTTCTTTTCAAAATAGTAAAAAAAAACCGAAGCGTACACGGAATTTGAATAAATATTCACGCTTTTGAGGCTGTGCGCAAAATCAATGCATGCAAATTGCTTATGTAAGGCACAAGAACACGAGTAAACTTTTTATTTATTTCTTTCTTTCATGTCAGAAATCATGTTGGTTTCTCTTTCTGGAAAATTATGTATGCGCGAACGCGACACATTCTAAGCATGGTGATCACTAGCAATCACTCTTCCATTCAGTAATAACCATAATTTCAGCACATTGATGCACTGCATTTGGGTGAATGTTTACTTAAGAAGAACCGCACGTCATTCGATGACGATGGCGATATATTATGTTACAGTGCATTACATATTGATTGTGTGTCAGTTGTTGTGAACGCGGCGTGATCAACACTGTGCTCTGCAAACGTATGAAGAAGATTTAAGCGATCACATCGCAATGGTGCCAAAGAGAAATATGCAAATCAAAGAGGCTTTAGATGGAGCGCGCTACACTTTATGCACTCTATACCATTAATACCCATTTTTTATGTACTTGATTTTGAGCACTTTATTTACTCGAACGAGTGCGAGCACTGTGCTTGCTTAAGATCCAAGAAGATCATCGATTTATGCCCTGTTCTCTTTTTCTCTCTCTTTCTCCGTTTCCATTGTGCCAACGATAAATTTGCAATGTAGTGAGCGTTGACATCATCATCGTATTTTTCCCTTTAATACGAATTAACATACAAAGCGATCATAAATTTTCGCGTAAATTTGAATTGGGCTCTCGCTCTGTCTCTGTGCAGCCCATTTGGTTTGTTTGTGCTTTGCCATATTGCGGCCCATTGAAGCTGCTAGTGCTGCCTTTTTTCGGGTTAAATAATATAAAATATACACAAAAACAATCAACAAACACTTGGTCTATTTCGAACGGCGACAGAATGCATTCTCTTCGTCCAAAAAAAAGAAAGCAAAATGATCTTCTATCAACAATGTATTACGTTCATATTTTGCTTTGATTTCTCAATACACATTTTACTGCGTTCAACAATTCGTACTTCGATTGCCATTTAATTTGCATATTTAGACACGCCGAATAAGAAAAATTTGCTTTGAACTATTAAAGGTTTGCTGTTTTTTCACTTCTTCTTCGGCCGTGTCGCCATTCACCGAATCGCGATTAATAACGTAACAGTGGTAAGTGTTTGAATTGCATGCAATTTCTTCTTTATTTATTTTTTCGCTGTTCAATGCACCATTTGACATTAAATAAATAGTAGAAAATGATTGAAGCTGCACGACGACTGAATGAACGGTTTCCATCACATTTGGGAATCAATCGCGCTTTGGTCAAATATTATATTTGTTGTTAAACGAATTGAATATGAACGATATGCAAAGTGAACGTGGTCGGTATAATGACGATTCGATGCAAATACACTTGGTTGTGCACACTCGAACTCATTTAAAATTCAACTGAAAATAAATCGCAAACGCGCTCGCAAAATTGCAAACAATAAGCGGCTTGAGCAGCCACAAAACACTATATATATGACCGTAAAGAGATGAAGGGAATAAAAAATCATTAACATGAAATAATTTCCAACGAATTTATCATTTATCGATATATTATACAAATAGCCTGTATTTATAACTGTGAAACATGTAAAATTGAATCGTATAGGTGTGCAAGCGGTGAGATAGGTGAGCGAAGGAGAGAGACGCACAAATCTATTATGGTGCATTGCCATTGAGATATAAAAACGAAATGACACCAGGCAGATCGGTCAAAAGAGAAGACAATAATAATATAATCTTGATTTTAAACTCCTTTGCGCTCATAAATGAACCAAATAATGAATTCAATTGTGTGCTATTGTAAAAATGTCTGTATTTACTCTAAAACGCGCACACACACCTCGTCCGCCTCATCTCTCTCTCTCTCACTCACAATCAAGAGCACTGACTCGGCACTGCAATCGAGATCAAAAAATTGCAATATGTGCTCGCATAGCCCATGCGAATGAGACCAAAAAAACATATATATTTATCTCCAGTCTCACTTTGGGCAGATACAATGAACATACAACGAACCAAAAAAAACCATTGGATAAATTCTGTTGAATTATTAATATATTTGCATCGTTTTTTCTTCACATCTATTTTGCTGTGTGTGTGTGTGTGTGAGTGAGTGGATGTTCGACGCGAATTTTTTTTGATGCCGACTGTTTTGGTAACCTGTATAATTTTACATGATTTAGATTGAGTCATTACATTTAATGTTTGAACACAAAGAGTGTTTATGAGATACAACAATGCACTGCAGAGCCCAAGACCAGTCGAAAAAATTGCGTACGAACGTTGAAAAACACACGCAACAAATAGCCGTGAATATTGAGTGTGGGCTGTGTGTATTTCTTTTTTATCTCAATGGAGCGGCGCACACTCAAGACTTTAATTATTGGTTGAGAGAAGAAACACATTTAACCGAGACAATTGATTCCAAGGTGTGCGAATTACGAACGCAACGAATGGATATTAAATGATAAAATGTGTAATTTTCAGTATTTTTTTGTCTTTTCCATTGCGTTCGCCATTTGAATTGATTACACGTTCAATGTACCGCATATATCGATTTAAATTCGATGAAAAGAAAAGAGGTGGTCGCGCAACTTAACACACGTTAACATCGATTTTATCATTTATTTTCAACTTAATTTGTTATTGCGATGGTTGTGTCTGACACACTCAAAATCTACCGACACATCCGCCTGGCCTATCTATTCACAGCCTATTTCTCTTATGTAATCAATTCGGAGATTTTTTTTGTTTATATGCGATAAATGTTGTTTCTTGTGATGTACAGACACCATGAGCATAACGCACAGCATTCTAATCACACTTTTGGGTAAAAAAACACACTCAAACAACCAAGGATTCTTTTTAATGTGCGCAGCGCGTGTTTTCCTTGTGTTTTTAAAGTTCCAGGAATTGTAAAATAGAAATAATTTAACGTTTTTTTTCACTTTGGAAAAAATGCATTTTTTACAATGGTAATGGTATGCATAAGATGTTCTTAGATTTGTGGATTTCACTTTCTTGTAAGCATTTGGTATTGTACGAGAGAAAAAAAACGTTGATTGCTTCGACAGTAGCAGATGTGCGGCGATACTAATGACATATATTTCCGTTTTTCTTTTCTATAATCTGCCGTAACCACAACATTGGAAATTGTCGGTTATATTTTTCATTTAAATTCAATCAAAACAGCAGAAAAAATGCTGTCATATGTTCAATACAAAACAAGAGAGAGAGAGAGAGAGAGAGAGAGAGAGAGAGAGAAAAAAAACCGTTTCGAATAATTAGACTTTCATAGTATCGAGAGAAAAAATGAATTTGGCTTAAATCCCCTAACAGTCGGCTTATGATAATATATTTCGCTTAAATGATTCTTGCACACTACGAAGAGAATATCATGTGTATGCATCAATGACCTGCTAACAATGACACTGTCAGAGATTTACATCTTTTCAGCACCTTTGTGAATATTTAATTCGCATTAATTGGTCGCGCGCGTGCATACCTTGACGGTGCACCGTGCAGTAAGTTTGAAAAATGGACAAAGGCTACTTTTCGAACCCTTTTTCAGCTCTTTCTCACTGTACATTGCAAAAGAGGAATTTCATCATTTGTATGAATAGCCACGAGCCAACATGCGACGTATATTTCGAAAAATATATGATGAAATTGATGGGGTTGCAAATGACCACTTTCAAAAGAAACACTGTGTTGTCTGTCTTTTGTAACGAATATATACATGTCTGGTGAAAATCTTCAAAGGAACTTTGTCAAACTCGAAACATTGAGTGTCGCACGTCTCACAGAAGACATCGTTTCAGTTGTTAGAGGGGAAATTGAAAGATCAAAGGGAATGATTTATTTTTTGAAAACACCAAACAAAAGTGGTCACTCTTTTGCCACGGTCAATTCTTCTTCGTCAAATATTTACGCGCTCGTTAGAAGCAAAAAACATGTTGTCATATTTAAAAGTAAAAAAAAACAGAAGAAGAAGAGAAGTTAAAAGAAGCATCAATGTTTGACTTACCATTGTTTACTGTGTTGGTTTCACCATCGTTTCCATCGATTTTTGTGTTGCTGTTGCCGCTGTTTTCATTTCGTTCACGTTTAATTTCTAAGCAGTTGCTACTGTCTACGCTATTTCCACGTTTTTGTTCATCATCTGAATTGCTATTATTTTCCAACGAATTCAATTCCGATTGTTTTGATTCGGAATTTTCATTTTCGTTATCGTTTTCATCTGCGAAGAATTAAACGAAAAAAAAATGGACCAGTTGAATGTGGGAATTTTATTTCAGTGTGCTCGATACGAATACACATGGGCATTTTCATTTATTTGTTTATTTGATTGAAATGATGGAGAGAGAGAGAGAGAGAAATAGAGAGAAAAATTGCATGCTTACCATCGGGCGTTAGTCGTTTTGGTGTGCTCGATGCACCGTCACCACTTAAGAAACCAGGACTAGCTAGAGGTGGTGTGTGTACACGTGATGATGAACTGGATGGTTTACGTGTGGAAATTGGTGCTGAAATTGACGGCCGTCGATTCACAAGACTCAATGGTCTACCGTCTTCTGAATCTCTGTCGCCGGTTGTACCACCTTTATTTAAAAATGAAATAAAAAGAACAAATAAAAAAACTCCGTTTTTGAACACGATTTTTGTTTTATAACGCAGACATACACAAAGATGAAAAATAGAAATAAAAATTGAAAACATATTCTTACCTTGTGGAAAGCACTGGCCATAATTTTCTTTGTTGCATTGCAAAACTTTGTGCTGTATGAATTTAACGATGTCGCCGAGTGCAAATGTTTTTTGACATGAGCCACATGTTAGTATATCCTGTATAGCTCCAGGTTCTGCTGTTGATTCAGATTCTGCTGTAAGATGAAGAGAAAGAGAAAACGGACGTTAGTGTTTAATATCGAGAGTTGAAATCCGATTGAACAACTATACACATATAGGTGAATCGTGAATGCGTTTGTTAAATGCAGCACAATAATATAAGCCAATCAAATATTTATTCAGTAATTGAAAGGGGGGGACGAAATGTCACATAGAAAAGTTACAAAAGGGTCGCTTCTGTCAACTGGTGCTCGGTTCGGTTGCGACCAATTGCACAAATAACAACTATTTGCCAAACGTTGTGAATGTGGATAACCTCGTGGATTTTAATAAAATATAAATACTTATCCAATAAAATACAGACACTTGGTCCATATGTCTAAATGTTACATTTACGGAATTTTCTCGGTACAATGTAACGGCACTCTTCGGTAGATTGAGAAAGAGAGAGAGAGAGCCGTAGAATACGGTATATAATCTCTTTAAGTACTACCCTTTGGCCGTTAGTGTCAGAAACCGTATGTCAAAATTTATACGGGCACAGAGAACGCGAGGTGGTGGCTAGAAAACAGCATTTATGTTCATTTTCACACATTCGACGATAATTTTGCTCCAGGCTCAAAAATGTATCGTACAAATGAATGTTAACACACAAACATTGTGTCTGCGGTACAATCACCACCACCACCTCCAAAGTTTTCACATGTTTTTGTGGTCGCGCATCATTTCGAAAGTGATATTCACAAATAAAGTTCGGTTTTTGCTAAGTGCCACAATTTGGCACAAAATTCACTGCGAGATTATAATTATTACCCTCTTCGAATTAACTATTTCGGTATTTCATGGCATGCATGGACTGTATGTGTTTGTGATCGAAACCAGGCACTGGATATAATATGAAGCAATGAAGAAATTAATGGTGCAATTCATTAGAAGCGATTTCGATGGTTTTTATTTGCGCGCAAACGAAGAAAAATCACTTAGAATTGTCTTAAGTAATTCGATGGGTTTCTGTTCGTGCACAGTAATTTGCAGTGAATTATTTGCACTGGTTTTGGTTTAATTGAAAAACAGTACCATACCAAAAGAAGAAAAAAAAAATACATAAACACCACTGAATAAATTATGAACGGATTTCTGTTTGTTATCGATGAATTCGACGGACGGCATTACGTAATTCGATTATATATGTATGTGCATGCTGGTCGCTATGAACCACACATGTTTAAATGCCAATGATGTGGATTGGCATATCCGAATGATGGGCGCGCTCCTCATCTAACGATATTAATAAATCCCTGACGTCAAAATACTTATCAAATTATCTTGTTGGCCCCAGTCTGTGAGCCAACTTGCAAAATCTCCCTACGTCGTTTACGTAAGCAAGACGGTGAAAAAAAACGCAATTCGCCACTTTGAGGTGGAAAAAGAAAAGAAAACTTTTCGTGCTTATTTGGTGCTGAGGGAAATTGCGTTGCTTCATTTGAAGACTGTGCACGGACATCGCACTGAACACAATAATTCAATAAAAAAAAGAAAACAAAACGTAGTCGGGGACGAGTATTGGCATTCAACGTCAGCAAACTACGTATTTCGCAAACGAATTGATTTGCTTCGCAATACAAAAGCCAGTCCTTGATCTGCAAATGAATACCTTGACAAATGACATACTTCAACATCAAAAGGATGATGGTTCTTTTTCTCTCTAACCATCGGTCGCCTTCTGTGTGTACTATGTCTGTATTTAGACCATATTGAAAACTGGTACACACATTGCAATTCAAAATAATGTTGGATAACATTATATGATTTCATATCTGTCAATGTTTATTGTTGCGCCTGCATAAAATTTTTCCATTTCAATCTGTTTCGGTTTTTACCCCTTTTCTGTTGAACGAACGAGCACACATTCATTTTTATTGAGAATATGGAATGGATATTGACAGCATTACATCAAAATCGATGCACTAATGCAATTGACACATTTCATATTGTGTTTGGTTTGGCCAACGAAAACTCTCAGAATCAATTGAATTCTGTGTGCGATACACAAAAACAATTCAGTCATAAATAAATAGAATCGTCTCGATTTTATTTTCCAACATTCGTATTCGACATTGGTTATTCACCCTTTCTCGATAAAGGGATTAAACAGATATTGATTCGCTGAGCATTTTTCTCTCTTTTTCGTACGGAAAGTTTTTACTTTTTATTTTTTCACCACATTATGATGGTTTCGAAGCGAATCGATTGAATTGATTGCAAGCTATTTATGTCACATTGTTCAATTCGATACGCCGATAAAAATCCGAAATGCAATCACCAATGAATATCAATGGCGACTAATTTTAATTTCAATATTAATTGCTTCCATCTAGAAAATTAAATAAAATCAAGCAATTTATTGGCACTGACGCGACTCAAAAAATATTATGTCATTTTTGGTTTTTTTTCAAGTAAATAAATGTGCTTTTCTGTATTTTCAACTATAAAATTATTATTTTAATGAACGAGAAAAAGCAATAATCTAGATAAAGTTTGAATTTATGACCATTTTCATTTGATTCCAATCGGAATGAATGCCACACAAATGCTCGAAATTTCATTCCACTCTCGAATGAATTGTAAATCATAAGTTGCAGTCATTTTGGATCATTAAAAAGGGTTTCAGGGCATTTATTGAACCAAAGTATTAGATGTGACATCTGAATCAAGCTGAAAAAAACCCAAATCAATCGCTATTCCGATTTCTATTGTGGATTTTAGCACGCACATCAGCCAATATTGGTTTATTGCATTCGGCACCCCATAATATTCGATCTGTGTACATTTCTATTAATTGATTGCTCAATATCTGACCTCCGCTTGGTAAATTCTTACTCAAGCGAAACTGTCCTTTTGTCATACTTTTTTTTCATCCAATTTAAATTGTTAGTTCACTTTTCTACGAAAAGAGCATTTTTTTGAAAAAAAAGAAAATGTTGGATATCAACTCTGGCTAACGAACCAAATAATAATTCGTTTGCGGCAAAACAACTGACCCGAAACACACATAACTGATTATTTCGGGTAGATGAATGAATCCATTTTTTATTATAAAAAATGTTTGAACATTTCATCAAGAGAGAAAGAATTTGTGCGTTGAATATAGTTTATAAAAGCCATTGCACCGGAAAAACTAAAATAAACATTCAAGTACTCAAAGTGAGCCATTAACTCGACATGTATAAAAAAAACAAGGGAAAAACGCACAAAACCAACACACGCCGATATAACTGGATCAAAGATAAACCGCTCCATTAAAACGGTAAACATAACCCAAATTCTCTTGCAATGCGTTCAGCGCTAAGAGTGCGTCGCGAAAAAAAAACGATTCGTATTTTTTTATGAACTTCTGAGTTTTATTATTTTGCCTCGTTTACGATGTGATTGCTTTAGCTGCTTGAAAAAAAAATGTGTGTTGATTTTTTTCGATTTAAACCGTTTAAAAGGTATTTTCGCAACCCTAATTGCATTCGAGCTATGGTAAATCTCGAATCTCGGCGAGCAATGACGCTTTTGTGAATCGAAGGTGAACCAGATTCGACGGATTTATAATTTTTTTTCACACATTTTCGAATGTGTGTAAACATTTAGCTTGCTCGCCTTTTGTGAATGCATTGAATTTGAAAAAAATGCGCGCATAAAAAATTGCATAACGAAACATCCTGAACGACAATTACGCATCGAATGCGAGAACGATAGATGAGAGCCTCATTGTATAAAGGTGCAATGTTGTTTGTTGAAAAGTGATTTGGTACTGTAATTGGATTCATTTTCCGTCAGGCTTTTCACATACCCATTCAAAATAATGTTATTACATTGTTACACTCGTATGAAAAAATAAACATAACTATGATTTTATAAATGTGCTCTTTAAAAAGATGTGAACAGAATGGGAGAAAAGAGCTCGACAGTTCGTCCGTGTTTGATGTAAGCCGCTGTTTTTGGAACAATTAGCAAATAATTTTGAACAGAAACAATAACAAGTTTTTTTTTGTACTTTAACGAAAACATTTAATAAGGGCAAAACTTCGTTTGCAGTGTATTCAATGTTGTTTGCTTTTTCTGTTTTTGTTTGATGGTATAATATTTGGAAATATCATTTTTTTTATTCAGATCTACACGGTAATTCATCGAAAGCCACACAAGCAACATGTGTGATCATCGAATGACCCACCCTCATTTTGAACAATACAAATATTTTTTGGTTGACTATAACCAACCTTCTATTCAACAATTTGGAATCGAAACTGACACATCTGCGATTGTTTGGCAAACCAAAATCGAGAGAGAGAGAGACGACAGAATGGAACATGAGTCTGGCCATTCGTCACGTTAAATGAATCCATTCGGAAATTTCATCGAAAAATGAAATAATGCTTGCGATGCGTCACACGAATTTTTGTCAAATTCACATTATTCGATTCGTTGAAAAACATCTGCGGTCAAAATATACTCTCTATAATAAGAGTATTTTTGCAAAAATTGTTCAAACAAATTTCCAGTCGATGTGTATTTCGCGTTGGCGGTGAAGTCATCTATAATAAATAATGTTCAACAAGCGCAATTGGCAGAATTTCGTTTAATTTTTCACCGAAAGAATAATTTGATATCATTGTAAACCCGTTTTATCACTTTGGGTTGAACCACAAAAATGAAAATTACATTTCAATGCAATTTCAAATGAAATTTTGCAAAAATCGCAAATTAAAATTCAATGCACTATTTTGTGCAATTATGTATGCCAAATAATGAATTCTAAAATGGTAAAAACACTGTTTTGTCATTTCATTTCAATGAACTATTTAAAACCAATAAAACGATATAGGAAAATACCAGATAGTCTACAGCTTTGCATATTTTATTGATTCGAAATAGACGAGGCGAGAATGTACAAACATGTAGTCGCTGTGTCAATTTAAACTTTGGTAGAAAAAATAAACTTTTGTTTCAGTTTTTATGGCGGATTTTTTTTGTCGACGGTATCCAACTT